AAACAAACAAACACAAAAACAAACAGAAAAACCCAAAACCAAACCAAACAAATCAAACAAAAATTTTAAGTTTTCTTTTTCAGATTGGATGAAATGAATGAGGAGACAGAGGCTATAAGTATAATCCTGGCCAAATAACAATAATTTAAAACCGTACATTGTGTAATGGCTACTCTGACTCACACAACCCATTTAAAACTCTTTATACAGCACAAGGAAAACTAATTAAAAATAAGCATCCTTTAGAAGCAAAGGCTAAATATTGGAGGATCATATTAGTTGTTTATTCTTAGGGTTCAAGTGATTTGGGTTTGTTTCTTTGATAACAATGCTGACAGGACCTTTGGAGTTTTTGAGATGTTATTTTAAAAACAGAAGTACCAGGCCTTTTAAAAGCATCAAATCATATCTACAGGGGAGAACAACAGAGGGAGAAGCTGTAGCAGGTAGAAATAAAGGGGAATAATGATAAGCAGACAAAACTTTGGAAACATGAAAATAATTGCATTGAAAGATGAATAGGGCTCTCTTTCAATGCTGACTGCCCATCTCAAAGAAAAAAATCAAAGGAGAAAAAAAAAAAAAAAAAAAAAAAAAAAAAAAAAAAAAAAAAAAAAAAAAAAAAAAAAAGAGAAAAAAAAAAAAAAAAAAAGAAAAAAAACTCATCACATTGTCTTGCCTCCAGTTTCTAGGCAGGCTTGTTTTGATAAGCAAGGAAAATAAGTGTGCTAATGGAATCCGCATTCCTACCTTCACAAGTGCTATATTTATGATACCTCAAGCACACAATATATTGAATAGCCATATTCCACTCTGTAATAACTAATTTGTCAGATTGTTGTTGAAAATATATCTGTAAAATACTATTCCTAAAAGTCAGATAAATAAAGACAAACCTGTATTTTGCCCTCTGCATGAGATAACATGAAACAGTGAGCAAGGACTGAGGATGGAACCACACCATCAGGCTATTTCATTCAGTCAAATTTCTGTTCTTGTTTTCTAAATTCACCTGGATATACCTGAACCTGACCTCCAGTAGTTAAGATCACTTTTTTTTAAAGTATAAATGAAGCAAGATGAAGCATTTATGTAATTGTCAAAAAGTAAGGAAAATTTAATGAATATATTATAAACTCACTTTTGCTTTAACACTCTATGATCAATTAGTCCTTTTTCGTTTTCAGCTGAGCACAGATATTTCTTCTGCTCCAGCAGAAAACCAGAAGAATTTAACATCTGTCTGTCAGTAGCCCTGAAATAAAAAAACAACAAAAAATCACTCTCAGGTTTTGTGCTCAGGTCTTTCTCAGCTTACAGAAAAGAGGATGTTTAGGGTTCTAAAATACCAGTGACAGAAACAGAAAAGGAGAAAAATCAACATACCAAATATGTCATGATTTTATATGCCCATGCCTCTTAATCAATTTCTCAGTTTAATTATCAAACTCTGACAAAATAAAAGGAAAAGTGTAGAAAGTTCTGCCTGCTTATATTCTAATTACTACACAGTTACAATTCCCAAGAAAATCAGCCTTCTCAGAGTAACATCATCTTCATAACCTGACATCTCCTAATTTTTGGGAAAACTAACCATTGCAACATGTAAGGGGTGAGCTAAAAGAGCTAATTACACAGCATTTCAATACATTTTTATTTACCTAGAATCTTGAAAAGTTGCTATTTTCAGGAGGTTAAATCATAAGGTTCAAGTCATCTTTTCATTACTCGAGCCACTCTAGAAGATCTCTGAATGCTTCCTGATCTTACAGTCCACTGCTCTTGGCCATTTGCTCCAGCTCTAGCTCAGCACTAGCAACAAAATCTCTAGATACCCACTTTGCTATGAGCCAGTTCACTACTTTCCGTTTAACCTTTGTGCCCACTTCTCTCCCTCCTCACATTCCTGTTATTTCTTGTTTTGGTAGATGTGTTGGTGGAAGCCAACATCAGCAGTTTTACTCCATACTGGGAGAAAAACAGAGTTAAGATAGGTGATACTGTTATGCTGCCAAGAATTCATGGCAATCATAAACCACTTTTTTTTTTCCTGACCTCATCTCTTCAGAACATCTGAACTCTAAAGATGCTCTAGAAACTGTTCCAGCCTCAGCTGCACTCATCACACAAAAGATTATTGGAAATGACATTAAAGTTTGCCATATTTATAAGGGGAGCTCTCCCTTTCCATGAAACAATATATTTCAGCCATGTAGTTAAATGAAACAACAAAAAAACCCCTTAGTATCTCCTGTGTGGCTCTTAGGAAAAATTGATCGTGCAAGTGGAAGGGAGCTTAATATTTACCTGGGAATATCTATGTGTGAGCTCCTCATACACACATAAGCAGTTTCTACTGTGTGACTGAGAACACTTCCACTGAACCAGTGACAGACACAAGATGCTATTTCCATGTTCTAATCCAAACTGCTGGAGATATAAGCCACATTCTAATAAGCCAAATCTATTACTTCCACACAGAAAGTGTTCATCTTTGTACTCCAAATTCCATGTCCAGCCAAGGACTTTGTTTCTGTTTCTGTCAGGGAGGAGAGGTCAGCACAATTCACACAGTCCCAGGATGAGCCAAGGACACCAGGATAAAGAGGTGGCAGCCAGGAGTGCACCAAAAAGCACTGGGGATAGCATTTATATGCGAAATACAACAGGGAAATACTGCTGAAGGCTCTTGGAAGCTCCGCAGTGACTTCAGCTGACTCAGAAAGAGACTGTGATGATGATCCTTTCTTCCCTGCCCTGAGCAATGCCCTGTCCGCCCTGTCACTGGTCCTGGCAGGGTGAGCAAGCTCTGGGAACTGGCCTGACTGAGAAATAATTCTGCAAAACAGAAATGATGGGTGGTTTTCACCTGGGCTCAAGCACTGCACGATAGGAGCTAGGAGCATGCAAACTCAGATTTCAGTGTTGCTCTCTGGCACCACAAGGGGATAACACACCCAGCTGTGGATGCTATTAACTGCTTAACGTGGTTTCTCTACTCACTGAAATTCAGCCTAACATCAGGGAGCAATGGAGGAAATGTGAGTTCACATACACCGTGAACTGTCAGAACCACGAATTTTACATTTGTTCGAAACAGTGTCTCATACACTTAAGTCATGAGTCCTTGAACTAGATCAAAAGAAATTATTCTTATTTTGTTCAAGATGTATCAAACAGACAAAAATAATTTTGAACTACATCACTAAGAAAAGCACTGCAGTGTTAAGAAAAGAGTCACAGCTATCTGCATATAAAGATACAACTTTCAGTTTTGTAACAAAACACTCTTTTCACTATAGATGCTTTTCCATATTTTTATACCCCAAAATGCACAGAGTGCATTTGACTTTTTACTCATCCTAAAATACATGACTGAATGCATCTTAAACTTGTTTGAATTTTGTTCTGTCTTGCTGACACAAAAAAGGAGATTAGATAGGGGAAGATTTTAATGCAAATTATATTCACTAAGATTTGGTATTTTAAGCATTTAAATTTTTTTTGAGTCTGCTGAACTTCAGAGCAAAACTGTTGCACTCATGCTACTGCACCTGCTGAGAAGCACATGGGAAAGTCACATCTAAGACACAGGCTATCCAAATACCCCTGACCAAGTCAGAAAGCTAAATATCCAAAGCCACATTCTAACTGCCCTAAACATAAGGACATGTTTTCTTCTGAACCCCTGCTGAAATCATGGCATATCCACCTCACTTTGGATGAAGTACAGGACCTATACATGGTAGTCTTCTTCACAGCAGACACCTCTACCCTCTAAAGAAGGATCTTCCTATAAATCAAATAGGCAGAGAGTGGAGACCGGCTGTGGTCTCATGTTTCAGGCCTGTGATAAATCTCACATGCAGTGACTTAGTCTTTTTCCTGCAATCCCCTTCTCTCCAGCAGTGCAGGAGCATTTACCTCAGGAGTTTCACAAATACTTCCAGAAGGACAAGAGGATGTATCTCCCTGTGTAGTTTAGTTTTCCTCATGAGCTCTATATTGTTTGGAAGTTACTCAGTTATCACTATCATGCTTTTTTTGGGCTTTTAATCACCTCGGAGTGCACAACCTGGACTCCTTTTGGATGAAGGCAAATGCTCTGCAGTTCTAATCCTCTGGGATTAATCCTACTGTGCCTAATGCAGCCTTAGTGCTAGAGTCCTTTCCTTTAAAAAAAAAAAAAAGCATTTTGGATCCATGGCAAGCTGTTCTCGACAGCCAGGATTCTCGGGTTTAAAAGGTACCACTTAGAGGTCAGGATTTCTCTCCTCAGCCAAGATATTCAGAAAAACATAACCCTGAAAGATTTACAATAGATCAGAATGGAGGTAAACAATGGGAGAATGAACAAACCCTTCACAGAAATACCCGCAACGAAAACACCTAACAAACTCTGCCCACTCCTCCATCCCCTAAGAAACCCCAAACAAACAAAGAAAACCTGCCTAAACAAGACCCAGAATGTAATAACTGAGGACAATCTCTCTGGAATCTGTTTTCTAAAAATCTATGTAGTTTCACAATAAATTTCAATAATCCCACTGTGGGATTTTAAATGCTTACATCTGGACCAAATCCAGAGTTTCCTTTGATAAACTGACTTTCAATACCCCTGTGACACAAATACTATCTCTGGCTAAATCATTATTATACTACAAGATTTGCAAGCATTTAAAAGTAAGTTCTTCAAAAGCTTAATAGAGAAAACAGAGAAAATCTTAGCTATAATGAAAGTTTGACATTCAAATGAAAACTAGAACTCAGAACTGGATATGAAGGAAGTTTAAATTAATTAATGGTGTGTTTCAGGAATGTTGATGCCCTGTTTAAAACCACAAGGGAAGAATCTAATGTTACATTTCACATTTGTTACAGATACTCAAAATATAAAAACCAGGTACAGATGAAGAGCTATTAAATTCCAGTTTTAAAATGCCATGAAAAGAACACAACTATACCAAGACCAAAATTTGCTGTGCCATGAACAAACTCACCCACTGATTACTTCTGGAAATTTTTGAGAAGCTGTTTCACAACAGTATGTAAGGGGTTCCAGCCCACTCTTCTGTTGCCGGTATTTTTTAATTAGGTCCATCAGCACTGCCTGGTGCCCAATCTTCTTCACCAGCTGCTGCACCATACGATCATTAAGAGCCAGAAGAGCTGCTCCACTTATTTCTTCTTCTGCAGATCGAAGGGGATAAAAGAATTACTGTAAAATAGCTTTATAGTTACAGTTACATGCTATATGCCTAAACACATGATGATGGGAGATGGATCAAAGGGAAGGATGCTTTGTACTGCTGACAGTCATCTTCAGCTATCACCATCCTTTCCCAAGCAGTGCCAGGAGTCTTAATCACTGGCCAGCTATCTTCCCCTGACATACAGCCAAGCCTGAAACACACAGAAGCAGAGGTGACAATTTTACTGCTTTAAGTCAGGCCTTGCTTGAATCACAGGAGACTGTTACTTGCTGATGAAGGAAATCAAGCTTTTTAACAGAGTAGACAAGCAATAGGCTGTTCACATTACAGTTTCTTGTGCACGCTTCTGTGAAGTGTCTATATACTCAAACATAAAACATTTGCACACTACATTTGCATTATTTCAAAAGATTTCTACAACATAAAATAGGCCCTGTCAGGTCTTTTAAACTGCCAGCTCTGATTTGAGGTGTGTCTATTTATATACAGGCTTAATTTCTTCCCCCAGGATTTCTCAGACTTTGTAGCAAATTTGTACACTTATGTTGATTTATCAGATATATGTCAGTTCTCACCCTAATAAATTTCTATAAAAGTCTGAGGTTAGCAAATACATACATGCCCCAAACCAAAACAAGGTAGGGAGTGCCAATAAAATGCATAGCAAGATATACTAAACAAACAGCACCACTCCCCCAAACAATAAAAATGCTTACCACGGAACTTAGGAACTAGCTCTCCTAAATTTCTCTGTTTCAACCAGTTGCAGACTTGCTCAACTGACCAACTTTCCATCTTCAATTGTTGCAACGTTAAATTTCTCTCTGAAATGAAAATAGATTATTTTTGTGCTGAGCTCTAAGCCAAGCTCCAACATTTCATATTAAAAAAATGTACTTAGGAAATAATATACCTACATGTTCTGAATAAAAATAGTGGAAAACAATCCAGCTAATGCCTGTTGTAAGTGGCAGTTTTCTTGGATCCCTTTCCTCTCCTCCTCTCCCGTCCCTGGTTTCCCTCTGTTCTGAGGCAGCCTCATTCCTTATAAAACAAGACCTGCTCCGGTACCATTAACACCCAGGTTTCCACACAGAGAAGAAAAAAGGTGTGAAATTCGCCACCACCATCAGGCTCATCAGGAAATGGCTGACATTTTACAGAAGGAAAAAAAAAAAAAAACAAGCCGCCCCACCATCAGATAAGAGTCTGTCACATCCATGCTTACAGTCAACCAAGCACCTTAACCCTCTCTGCACCGCCTGGCAGGGCAGGTACCCAGCAAACACTTAACCCTGAATTACCAACAGCCAGGGACAGGAAAGGTGGAAGGGAGGAGACTGCCCTGCTGTTGTTTGCTGGTTCTCTTCTCCAGGCTCCAGTGGTACCTGGGAGGATGCAGTGTGCGCCCTGGGAAGGCAGAGGCTCTGGGGCAGCCGGGATGGGTGCATCCACCCTCTGGGTGAATCCTGCACACTCTGTGTGCCTCCTGCCTGAAGGACACACTCGGATGACAAGGGGGTGCAACACACCCCAAAGCACCAGAGACCTCCCCAGAGGAAGGTAACTTATAGAGGCACAGCTTGTTCCACACTGCGAACTTCTCAGCAAGAGAAAACTCTCTCTGAGGGGAATTTTCTTATCAAGGTGTTTTAGCTCTCCTATCTAAAGGATCACCAAGTGCTCCATGACCGTGCTTGCAATCTACAGCACAGCAACACTATCGGAATCAGTTTTTCAGACACACGTATGAGTGTCTGGCATTGTTGGTCAAACATTTCCTTCCATACCCTAAGCCTGCAGCAAACTCCAGGCTAACATGAAGATTCACCCTCACAAACCTCATCAGAATCTGTGCTCAAAAGAAAAGGAAAACCAAAAAAAGAAAAAAACTCCTTGAATAAAATATTTCCATTTTCATCCTTCAGTAGCAGAGATCCTCCAAAAGACACACTTCAGTTTACACTCTTATGCCTGTCGACTTCAGCAGCTTAGAAGGGTTAAGTTTAAGAGGAATGCCTTTCTGAATTACATGAGTGGGTTTAATTTGATATGACAACAGTAGCCATACAACTCCTCCCCCAGGCTAAGCAACAAGAACAGGGTGTGAAAAGTCATTATTTGTTGAGAACTCTGGTGTAAATTAAAAATCACACCTTTCTGTCACACTTCTTACTTCCTTGCAAAGAGTAGTGCAGAAAAAAATTCTCCAAAAACTTGAAAGATAAAACCGGGTGCAAAGCAGAAAGATACTTCCCTTATCAACCAAGCAGTGTAAAAGGAGAGAGATACATTAAAATGTTGGAAAGGTCACTTCTTCACCCTATAAGAAGACTAACACCCTGGAACAATTATTCTAAAGCAGAGAGGCAGATACCAACACTTCAAAAAGTGTCAAGCAAACCCTAGCCATGCACAGCAATATGCACATTTAGCCCTGGGTGGCTAATTCTACAGCAAAATAGCCGCTTGCCCATGGAAATGCAGGCTGCACGCTTTATGGAGAGAAGTGATGATAGCTGAGAGGCAGTTTTGTTTTTTTTTAATCGTATATACATTAAGGGTCATGAAATTTAAATACTTTGAAATGCTTTTCAAAAGTGATTTCAGTTACTTGCCTCTGCTATAGACAAAGTAACCAAAAGAAAGAGCACACCAGTCTTCTATCAGTGTTATGGAGACAAGGACTGAGCACAGATGCTGGTATTTGTCTTCATTAATGATTTTATTTGTTACAGTAGCATCAAAAGATTATCCAGCAAAGGGTTGCCTGTGTTGAATGCGGTGAAACCTCTGAATAGTTATATTCCTCAATCAAGTCATATAAATCAGAACAACAAAAACCCAACAAAAACAGTTCTAAGCGTGAATGCTCTCTGTTTGTTAGTAATATAGCAAATCACTGGGACTCATTTCTTCATACACCTGGGGTCAATAACAATAATTAAGATTTATTTAGCCCTGGTTAATGAAATTAAGTAATGAAATCAATGAAAATTACTTTTCCCTAGAATGTGACAGAGGAGCACTTCTATTTACTATAAAAGTCTTCAAAACTGAAGCATAAAAATCTCAGGGTTAAATCAGATCAGGCTAAAGACCTATCAGTGGTACAGATTTCAGCTCCCACAGTGGGTTACACAATAGCAAGAGATGGGGATCCTGACCAGCAGGATGCTGGCAGATGCATACTGCACATGCACCAAATTATTCCATAGCTTGTCCACAGCTGCCATAATCTTGAAGTGACACTTCTAAATGAATAAGCCAATATATCAAAACACTTGAAATATGACGAGTCAGTTATTATGTTTACCTATGAGAGAGCCTATGGCACCACAGACGACAACTAGCACAACTTTTGACAAGTGTCTATGAGGTTTTTCACCAATGTCGGAGTTATGGTTAATTTTAGCACATTTAGTGCTAAAGAAATGTGTAAGGCATGTGATGTGTGCACATCTATACATCACAGCTGTGTGGCACATTCTGTAACGGGCCAGGTCTCAGAGTTACAAGTGTGATGAGTAGGAGTTGGTGCATACCAAAGATATAAGCAAAATATCCCATGTGCAATTTTATGCTCTCTTAATTTGGCTTCATCTTCAAATGCACTATACTTTATTTAAAATACTTTATTATTTTCTTTCCACTTACTACCAATCTCTTTTTAAAAACAATTAAAATAAATTCAAACAAATGTATTCAAGACAATGTAATCTCAGATCCAGTGATGAATTATCATGAAAAGAACATCAATTTTCCACAAACCTTTTCAGTAACATATAGGAAAAGGCTCTGAGGTAGCATTTCTGTCACCTTCCCCATCCCGTGAAGAAAATGCCAACAACACATTGCTGTCATTTGTCAGGCATTTATGCTAGCATGAACCATAGTGCAGAGATGTCCAAAATAAAGGGAAAAAAATCCCAGTATCAGTGAGGGAGCAAATCTTAAAGTCAACACACCAGTTCTCATTTCTATGCTACTATAGATGAAGACACATGCAGCTGCAAGACAAGGAGAGATGCAAACATACAGCAGATGCAAGAGAAAACCCATATCACCTAGGAGAAAGGCTATATAAGAAGATCTAGGAAGAAAACATGCACATCCATTAGTCAGTTGTAGATAACGGGAAACAAGCCAGACAAAGCTTTTAAAATTTGATCAGAGCTAAGGGAATTTACAAGGGTTCTGAACATGCCCATCCATTGAGCTTATCAAGTAAACAAATCCCTCTGCAAGAATTAACTCTGAAGAATATTATAAAAAAATAATCCCTTTCCTTAATACATGTGCTTCTGATTAAATATTATATTTCTAATACTCAAGTTTTTGCTATGTGAACTTTAAAAATATTTTCATTTGTGCTAGCTGCAGTATTACTGGAAAAACGAGTTGTCCCACTTCAACAGCAAAATTCAACACAAGAACCAAGTTCTCTCTATTACAGATATGCAACTTATTTGGCAATTTGAAAGGTAGAATAATAAATTAACTGTGATTTAATAACAATGTAAATGAGACTCCATTCTTGCTATTACTGGCAACAGAGTACAAGTGATAAGACACTTAGCTGTAAAAGTCTTCCTTTTTTTTTAAAAAAAAAACCTTCTGGAAATGAGGGCCCTGTAAAATCAAAACTTTTTATATTATCTTTTTGTCATGGTTTGACACTGGCCCAATGCCAGGCACAAACAAGAGTTGCTCTCTCACCCTTCCCTGCCACAGCTGGGCAGAGGAGAGGAAAAAAGTTAACAAAGACTTCATGAGTTTAGATAAGGATCGGGAGAATAAAAAAAAAGAACTTCAAGGGCGTAACAGGCTCAACTTCAGGTTGCCAGGTGAATTTATTATGAACAGAAGAGGGTAATGAGAAGCAAAATGAGCCTTTAAAGCACCTTTTCTCCCCAGGCCCTCCTTCCTTTCCACTGACAGGGTATGGGGGTTTTTGGGTCAGTTCATCACCAAGATTTTTTTTTCCACTGCTCCAAGAGAGGAGTCCTTCCCCTGTGAGTCTGTGGGGTCCCTTCCCACGGGTGACAGTCCTCCATGAACTTCTCCTGTGGGTCCACTTCTCACGAGTAGCTGCCCTACTATATCTACTGCAATGTGAACTCCCTTCCCAGGCTGGGAAGTCCCAAAACTGCTGTGACATGGGTCTCTCTTTCTATGGGGTGGAGTCCTCCAAGGATAGGCTGCTCCAGCCTGGAAGCAGAGCCCCTCTCTCCACCAGGTCTCTCACTGGATTACAGCCTCTTACATCCACCTGCTCCAGCATGGGCTGTGGGTGGATCTCTGCATCTCCTGTGGATCCCCATGGGCTGCGGGGGCTCAGCTGCTTCGCCGTGGTCTCTCCGCGGCCTGCAGAGGAATCTCGGCTCCGGCACCTGGAGCACCTCATCCCCTCCCTCTCCACTGACCTTTGTGTCTCCGTGTTTTTTCCCTCACATGGTCTCACCTCCTCCTTTACCCTGACTAGCAGAAACACCTTTGACTTTGTTTTGATTTCCTTCTTAAATATGCCATTACAGAGGCATCACCAGCCTCTCTTATTGGCCCAGTTTTGGCCAGCTGCACATTTGTCTTCAAAGCCATCAAGGATTGGCTCTGCTGGACATGGTGGAAGCTTCCAGCAGCTTTCTAGAGAAGCCATCTCTGCGGCCCACCTGCTACCAAAAACCAGGTCCTGCAAAACAAATAAGATTTAATAAAACTGTATCAAATAAAAATACAATGTTACAGTGAGAAAAGGGGGGAAAATGAAGTAAATGTTAAAAATTTATGAATCACAAAAATTA